CTACAAACAGTACCCAAAAACTTGTCATTTTTTCTGTAAAATAAAAATAAAAATTAATTTAATAATGAGGTTTCGTTCTTCATTTCAACATGATAAGCACCTTAAATAAATGGTGTTCAATCACAAAAAAATAAAATTTAAAAAATTAAATATTAATGATCCTGTTGGCACTGCAAAATGTGTTTTAAAGTGTTATGTACTAATTTTTTTTACAAATATTTGAAGGTAATTAAAGTTTGTAAATTTTGAGCACACGATTAATTTATTTATTTATTTAATTTTACAAAGTCCCTTGATTTTTGTCAAAGATTTATTTCTAAATTTCTTGAAATCATAAATTTTTGGAATTTTAATCTCTCGAAAATTACCAGATTCATGAACGTTTAACTGATCTATTACGATAAACCAAACGTTATACCTGGCTGTGTCTGGTTTAAAACGCAATGCTTGAGCCAACAATAGCCCTATCAAAATCAGAAATGTACCTGCACATATAATAAAGCTATAACATTTTACAATTTAATACTAATTATCTCAGAATTTGAGCATAAAAGCGCCTCTCAGACACAATTATGCTTTCAAAAGTTGAGCCAAAAGGGCCCTTAATATTCACACCGCACCCATATCTGCCCAAATTTGCTGATTACAAATTCCATTAGCTGAAGGCGCAGACAATGCCGATACATTTAGTATTTATATACACCACCGGGGACCGAGCCGAAAGCCATATCGCCAAATTTAATTAAGCCGACACACTCTCTGACAATGACCCCGTAATGAACGTGAAAGCAACTTGTCTGGTGCGGAGCGAGTCGAGAATAGCCACGACTCGCGTGACTGACAACTTTGCACTGCTCTCTCGGCAAAGGGCAAATTTAATCTTTGGATTTTTAATGCTACACGCTGAGCTCTAAATCCAATCTCGATCAAACGACCCGCCAACATGAACCCGACGAGATTTTTAAAACGCGACAGCTCGTGAAGAAAAATAAAAAGGCTCATTTCCGCGCAGTAAATTAGAAAAATGTCAAGGATTTTGTGAAAGTGTCATTTTATTTTCGTCCTGGCTGCCGGTGACATTTATTGCAGCCCCTGCTTTTTCACAATATTTTACTTTTCTCCTCTCAAGAGGGGTCGAAATCGCATTTTTGCCGAGCACACACTGGTGGGCGCCATCCATGCGTGTCGCCGAGTGTTTTACACCTCCCTGTGTTGAACGGCCCCGAATTCGACCGAGTGCAGAACGCCGCACACACACACTTCAAAGCTGAATGAACCGTGAACACTTTTGTAAAGCTCTCTCTGCCGAAAACCTGCCGACCAGAGGACACACACACACAAAGATTAAAGGCAGGAAGAAAACTTCAAAACTATCAGCACCCTTTTTCCTGATGAAAAAAGTTTCAAAGAGTTTCGGATGATAATTTTATAGATTAACCGACAGCTTTAATTTCATTATTTTATGAAAGTGTTCTACAGTCACTATTATATTTAATTGAATTTAAAAGAAAAAATTAAATGAAGAGATTGTGATATTTAACTAAATTTATTTTACAAATATTAATATTAGTTTCAATGCAAGAGAAAAAATTATTGCTTAAATTTTATTACGTAGTGAATATTAAAATATTTTTTAGGGAAACTTTTGGCTTCTTTCATTGTCTAGTTATTTGCTGTTCTCAATTCCTGTGTATAAATTGAAAGGACTAAAAAAAAGTATGTGGCGCCTTGAAATCCATCTGGCTGGGGATAGGAATAAGAGAGATATAAAAAAAGAAAAGAAACTTTCTTTGGGCGTTCGTGCATGCAACGTGCTAATGCAGGGCGCAACTCGACTCCCCTTATCTTCCGCCGCACATTTTTACTTTTCTCTCTCTACATGCAAGGGACGATAATGTGTGCAAAAGTTCGCGAAAGGCAGACGCGCGTGTTCTATTGCCAAGTTTCGCCGTCGGCCTGGCTCGCGATTTATGGAGTCACGAAACGAGAGAGACGAGGAAGAGGATGAGTGTCTCCGGATTTTTAAACTGTCCCTCGCTCTTCTGCAGTCGTAAAAACTTTTGATTGCTCTTGCATTTAGATGATTTCCTCCGAGACCTCAATTAGAATATTATTATCTGTCAAATTTTAATGATTTTGTTTTAGGACGAGGAACGCAAATTGCACATAATATTTTCAATCGGTTTACAGTATTTATTTATAATTATTTGATATTTTTGTGTATTATTGTTGTTATTAAAATATTTATGTATGGTTATCAAAATTTGATATTTAAGGAGTTGAAAAAATTTAATATGAATTAGAGAAGAACGGAGAAAAAAAAACAATTATTAAGCAGATCCAAAAAAAAATTAGGCCCAGTTTTTATTTATTTTTATTTTTTAGTCACTTTCTGAAAGATCGCGAAATATCCTTGTGAAAACACGATGTGAAAATTCCTAACGAAAGCTGGAAAATTAAATTGAAATTATGGGAAAAGGTCAATGAAGGATATTTGGACTAATGATTGAAATTGGGGAAGCTTAACAATTTTGCTAAATTAGAAATTTTTGGTTCGTGTTAAAGGGATTTACTGCAAAATTTTGTGTATCTTAATAACCTTTTTAAATTCATTTATTTAATTGTACTGAAAGTTTTTGATAATTTTATGCTGCTTTAGTTGTAAGTCTGCAAGATGATAATCGTCTGTTGCCAGTTGCAAACCTGCTTCGTTCTGAGGTACGTTCGTGTCACATCCATAATAGACCGAGAGTGCATCGGAGTTCTGCAGCTGCAGTCTGAATTATTGCGAAGCCGCAACATGCACAGCCGAATGCCCCGCTGGGCTCTGAATTAATTTATTCGTTGTGTGCAGTGCTTGCGACACGGCAATTGCCTCTCAAAGCGATCCAAAGGAGCCGCCGAGACATCAATTCACCTCTCGAGCTGTGTTTGCGCTTTGTGTTTCTGCCAACCGACGATGGTGACAACAATCAATTCTATTCCACCGTGTGATTACGCTGACCTGCGCCGATTATTAAACGTAATCGTGTGGGTCGTTTCAATAACAAACTCATTCTTGTCTCTAACACGAAAATTACATTTATTCTTAAAAATAAAGTTTTAAATTGAAAAATCTATTAATTAAACAATATTCTTTTCTCTTTTGATGAATTGCATTTTTTTTTTTTAAATTTTTGTTTAGGTCAAAATATGAATTAATACAAATATTCCAAATTTATAGTCCTTGGTTGGTCTATAATTAGGAATAATAAAAATTATTGCTCAATACACAATCTGAATTTTAATTTGAAATTTCTCTTTTTCTGAGCAATTGTTCAATTTAATCACCAAAACAATTGAATAACTTTCATGCAAAATCTTGTAATCTACTAATATTTTCAATATCTAACCATTTTTCTATTACAAATCATATAAACTTTATTATTTATCAACTATAATTTTAAATCCAACAAAAAATTTTTAATTCTTTTATTTTTATTTACACCTGCACGTGTGATTTTATGCGACGTCCTCGAGGGCTTAACCCTAATCTACCCGGAAAATGTAGAGGGCTTTTTTCTTGCAAGCTCGGTGCACAACAACAGTGTTGATAAATTCATGGAGTGGTCGCTGGCGACAAAGGAGGCTCCGCCGGTCGTTGTCGCGCGCGCGATGAAAACGACGCCCTTGCCCTTTCAGAGACGGGCAGCCCTCTTTATCCGAAGGAGCGAGAGCAGGAAAGAAGCAAAATAAACTCACGGGAAAGTTGTTCGGCGCGGAAATTGGCCCGCGTGCGACTCCGGCTAGAAGTTTATATATGAAAGAAAAAAAAAAACGCACTGCGTGCTGAAATGGGGACCACTTTTTTGGCTCAAGTGTCGCAAACTTTACTAAGGTCCTTCAGTAAAAATCGTGTTACTCCAAAGCTGCATTATTTTCACTAGTTTCTGAGAAGTCATTCAAACGTCTCACCAGTAAAAATATAAATAAAGTACAAATACAGTTAATAATTTTTACAATCATATTTTCGTAAAGATTATTTAAATTTTTTTTTAAATTGAAAATATCAAATATTTTACTCTGATCCAGCTTTTTTTTGCTAAGTGTATACTTTAGAAGTAATATAATTTTTTGTCACTGCTTCATCAAAATATGAAATTGGCATAGATCCAATGATTTCGTTTCTTTTTTAATTTTAATCTAATTTTCAATCAAAGTTTTAAATTTCCATAAAAAAAATTAACTTTTCCGTCAATAATTGATTTTTGTTTTATTAGTCTTAATGAAAAATTTATTATCACAGAAAAAAGTCTCTTGAACTTACTTCCCGGAGTAAAAGTTGAAATTTTAATTAAATTAAAATCCTGTCAATGAAGGGGTTCATTCAAATTTGATCAAAGGAAACTCATCCTCTGGCAGGATGGTCAAGCCAATTCAGGCGTGCCAAAAGTTTCCATGCGCGTAATTGCAATTTAAGTGGTGGTGCGTGTTTGAAGTAGTGCTTGTGCGAGTGACGGTGCCCGCGGAGCGGAAATGACAACACCAAGTCTCTTTCAACACCGGCTTCATTATGTTGGTGAAATGAAGCAATTTCCGCGGCAAATAGGTGGCGCGTGAAACTATTTGCGAGGCAAAGCCAGCCGAAAAAGTGCAATAAATCAGGCGTCAAATTAGTTGCCGAGAGACACCTGACTTACATCCTTGCACTGTGCGTGTGCACCGGGTAATTAATTACACCACCCCCGTCGGATTCCATCCCTTTTGCATTGTCACGAGAGGGATGATGAGCGATGAGAGAAAGGAAGCGAAACTGCGAAACACACAGGCGTGAATTATCCCTACTTTCCCTGCTCGGCAGACGCGCATTAATTTATCACGCTTTTTAGTATAAACTTATATATACATGTGGTTGCGTGTCTCTAATTACACACATGAGACTGTTCTCTTGAAATTTGATTTATTAGGGGGTGGATTGTGAGTTGTTGAAACAGAAATAATAGAATACAATGAATTTCCTCAGTTGTATTTTATTTTAAATTTAAAATCAACTCTTACGTAAATATTTTTAATTTTACTATCGCCATCTTTACTTTCTCTTCTCAAGGCACAGAAATAGCAGGTCAAATTATAAAAAAAATATACATCAATTAGCAGAATTTTCAAGAGCATTTTTACAATTTCAAAAAGTACCAAACAAATATTAAAGCTTGTGAGACGAGCTTAATAACAGGCTAATAAAACAACCTATTCATTTTTAATCAAAATTATGATAGTAAAATAATTAATATAAATTACATTCCCCCTATATTCTTATGCAATGCATTTTTATCATGTGTCTCGGAAGACAAAAAGAGTTTTTCAAAAGTGATTTGCAAATGGAGCATTGAACTTTTGATTTCAAATGCCTGTTGGAATGCGATTTCATGTTACTCCTTTTGTAGAACTTCTTGTCACAATGCGCACACTTGTGCTTCTTTTCAATTAAGTTGTGAACTTGTGACAAATGCTTAATCAAGACATATTTGCTGGAAAATTTCCTACAGCAATGATTGCACTCAAATTTAAGTGTGGAATGCAGTCGAGTGTGGTTCTTCAAATTTCCTTTAGACGAAAAGTATTTACAACAAATTTTGCACTCAAATCCTAGACTCTGAAATTGGCTTTTTTTCTCAATTGGACACAAATGGCAACAATTAATGTGATACTTCAATTTATGCTTTGTAAAATAAACTTTTGAGCAAAAATGACAATAAAAATCTTTTTTGCAACCGCTCTTATGTTTTTGAAGCAAATCACTGCAACTGAATGAAGTTCCACAAATTTTGCAAAGCCTTTCAGTGGCATGTCTGCTCAACACAATCGTTGACAGCTTCCTTTCACAGAATGGGCAAGACACTATATTATGAAGGCGATTAACATGACTTTGCAGCTTTAAAGCAGTATCAAAATATTTTAGACAAAACCTGCACTGCTTTGGCTGCTCTGTCTTTTTGTGCCAATATTTTGTGTGGTATAAAATATTCGTTTTTCTCATAGCTCTGTAGCTACACATTTGACATCCAAAGATTTTCTTGCTTTCAAGCGCGCTGTGCATCAACTTGAAATGGGATTCCAGATCTGCCTGAGAATTAAAAAATTTTTTACATAGACGAATTCTGCATCGAATGTTATACTTATTAGGGTGCTTATTTCTGACATGTACATTCAAAAATCTTTTAGCAGAATAACGATTTAAACAGAAAATACAGCTAAAATCTTTTGATGAAACGTGAAACTTTTTTACATGAACGTCTCTTGCTTTTGTAGAAAAAAAATATTCTGTGCATACTCTAGTAAAATCGCATCTGATTGCAATATCTTGATGAGCTCTTTTAGTGTGAGTCACCAAATCAGTGTAGCTATTTTTGCAGTAAATGCACTTCACAGACTCAACATTTTCTGGGTTGTCTTCTTCTTTTTCTTCAACTGCTTTTGGTAGTTTCTCCAAAGGCACCCAGCACTGCTTTATGCGACCATCTTTAAAAAAAAATGAATGTTTTTTACTTAAACAAATTAATTTCAGCAAAGAAAATCAGGACACCATGAAAACTTCAACAAAATTCAATCACCTCTGAAAGCATCAAAAAGAGGTTTTCCAGCATTTGTCATTTTCGATTCTTCTCTAGGCCACCAGCACAATTGTCCCAAGTGACCAATTTCATCTGCAGTATTTTCTAGGAGAAATCTAAAATAAAATAAATAATTTCAAAATACATTAATTAATGGAGCCTTTAATCAATGTAATGCATATGGGGATGATAAAAATTAAATTTATTAACCTGGCGTCCCAAACGCAAAAGCAGCAGACGAGGTCGTTGTCCGCCAATTCGTCGGCCAGCGTTTCGCCCAAGAAATTCAAACACCACTCGGCAAACTTCTCCTTGTCCAATTCGGCCGCCGAAAAGCCGCCGTCGGCCGCTGGCCGCTCGCAAAGTCGGCAAAGAGGCTTCCCAGGCCACATCGTGTTTCGGAACGGAAAACCTGTTTGTTTATTTTTTAATATTAGCTCCGCCTCTCCATTCAAGAGGAGGGGCTTCTTTTTTTTTAAAAAAAAAGCGCGAAGGTGCCACGGGTAAATAAAAAATGCAGGCAATATTCAATTTTGCCTGCCATATTTCGCGATCATGTTCAGTGTATTGTGAATGTTTAAATTAAATTTAACTGAGGAATTTTCTCATTAAGCCTTCTTTTATGCGCAAAAAGGAGCAGTAACAGATCGCCCTTAAAAATACTTAATCATTTGCCATAAATTTAAAAAATAAATGTTTTAAATTTTTCATAAAATATAAAAAAATACATTTTTACAGAAAAAATATCTTTTGAAAAATTGAGCATTAATTGTTTCGTTGTATGCATTATCAATTCATTTTAGTTACTATGTTAATTAATTTTGAATCTCAACTTTTTTAACAAAATAAAAGACACTGCCCGCAACGAAGCCTCCAACCCTTTGCAGCGGAATTGCCTGAGGTGTTGAGCAGCAGAGAATTTTCCTGGCTGATGGATGCGACGCAATTTGTGTCACACGCCAGATAATTTAATCAGCGACGCGCCTTGTTTTTGCTGCAATCTGGTGCGGATGACGATTTTCCTTTTTGACCCGCGAGAGAAGAATGGCTGCTGGCCGCTCGCCAAGAGCGAGAAGAGCCTCTTTGAAGTATCATTAGGCCAATAAAACAATGCACAATCGCAGCTGCGGGCTTGGCCGGGGAGAAAAAAGACGTTTTGCAGGCGACAATTGTGCTTTGGAGCGAACAAGACGACGAGAGAGATTTTGCATTCGGGAGAAAGAGAGAAAACGGTGATGGTTATTCCACTCTTGTTCTACTTGCCGCTCTGAAAAAGATTTGCTGGACACTTTTCTGTTCTTAAAAAACGAATTCAACAGATAAATTATTTACTATTAATCTGCAATTGGAAGGAAATTTTAAGTTAAAATTTAAACATGTTGAATTAACTGAATTATACATAGAATTGAATCAATAAACTTATTTATAATTTGACTATAAAGTTAGAACAGAACAAATTTAATTTTTTTAATTGAATACAATTGTAATTAATATTTGTAGTTATTACTGGAGATTATAATGTTCTTGTTAAAATTTAGAAAAATGGAATTAGAAACTTTAATTTGTTTCCCCTGCATTGACTGAAAATGAATATTAATGGAGAGAGACTTTCTTTAAAGATAAGCTCATTTTTGCTTGCCATGGTATCATTTGTTATGTGAAAACAAAGATAAATAATAATTTAATATTAATATAAAAAGATAAAAACAAATTTTTCAAGCTTAAAATGGACAACATACAACGTGCAAAATTTTGAAGCAAACTTGCCATTTTCAAACCGTATCGTGAGTTTTTTTTTTTTACAATCTCATCATAACTTTTTTACATCCAGGATGCACTTCTCTTTCAAAAAAGCCAATATGGTGTCACTTCCTCTTTAAACTTTTCTTGAACACAGCAAAAGATGGCTTGTCAAAACTTGCCAATTTCGCCTCCTCCGACGAGAAAACACGCAGGTGGTGCGCGTCTCTCCTCGAGTAGAAATTTTCATTTCGCCCAAGAGAAAAAAAGCAAGGCCGATCGATGTCGGATATCTCGGCACCTACATAATCATCAGAGCGAAAATTGAAATCGCGGGAATGTAATAAGCTGCGCGTTTTTGTGCTGGCCTGCACCCTCCTAGTGCGTTTGATGTCGGAAGGGCAAAGTTATTTTTGGCAACGGAAGGGACTTGATTGGACTGGCTGACCCTGCGTCGCACACTCGAACGAGCGCCCTTGCTCCAAGTAAGCAGAAATTTCTGATTATTTGGCGCTACTTCTGTGAAAGCACTAAATTGGTTTAAGTGGTGAATTTAACCTGTAATTCTAAAATTAATTTTAATTTTTTGTACATTTTTATTTTATATATAAGAATTAAAAATAAATATTGTTTTTAACTAATAAATATAAATATTTTGAGCAAATTAAATTTCCGCCAGACTAATTTAAATCAAAAGTTCCGTTTGTGATCTTTATTTTTTACCTGGGACCTCATTATAGCGATCAACACTGCATGACCTTGTAATGTTATTTTTATGATCAAGGTCAAAGGTTCCTATAATGAACTCCCTGCTTATTCTAATCATTCTAATTTTAACAGGTCACTTACAATAAAAACTATTCTTTTCTTTTTTCAAAGATGTATTATTAAATTTGGCTCACCAAAAGGTTACATTTTGTCAGTAATGCCGATTTCCTATAGCAAATTAATTTTGTTTGTAAAAAGTTTAGCATTTATGGATGATAAATTTATTTAAATTAAAAATTAATGGTATAATAAGGCAAAATTTGTTATAAATAAAGTGATATATATAAGATTGAATTCAATTGAATTTTTAGTCATCATTATAAGATCTGCTATTTTAAAGATAAATTGTGTAATTTCAATGTTGATTGTTTTTTTTTTATGTATAATATATGTATATTATTTCTGTTTGCCATGGTTTCAAGTTTCAAGAGCAGTCAAATACGATGGGGGTTCTCAAAATTGTCCTTGGTGTTGCTGACTTGAATTGCAAATTGGCCCGAACTGCTGGGTTTTGTTGTTTAGAGTAAGGATCGAGCAAAGGAAGGTGTCGCAAAATAAGCAAAGTTCTCGCGCTCCGCAAACAAACACGCGCGCGCCTTTCCAAATAAACTCTCTCGCAAATCGACGCTGCCGAGGGTCGGGAAACTCTGGAAAAGCAGAACGGAAAGGAAGTCTCATATCCTCCAACGCAAACAAGCGCACACGCCAATGATGGCGAGACACTTTTTGCAGCCGAACACGGCGTAATCAATATTTTTATTGGAAACCGATATTTACGCGCGCGGTCTGTCGGCCCTTTGTTATTTTTTTTGCAAGGGGAACACGCAATTTTCAGACGTCATGCAGGCAAAAAAAAATTATATGCTATCATTTGTTGCTACTCACGAATCACGAACCGTCTGAAATGCGATCCATTTGACATTCTCTTTTAATTAAATAATTTACGGTTGGCAGAGAAATATTTAAAAATAAAACTGATTTAATTATTTTAACAGCTTTAATTTTTTTTTAATTAATAACAATAAACCATTTTAGGATTTAATTCACCTAATACTTGGTTATTTTAAATTCATTAATTTAACGAACATTATTTCTTTCTTTCAAAAAGGCACACGGTTTTAGAAAAAATCTCATCCTCATTCTGCTCAAAAGGAATGATGATCCGAAGGTAAAAGTCTCGCCGAGTCATTTGCAGAAGAAAAAAAGAGTTTGTCGCTCGTTTCGGCCTCGGTGGCAGGGCAAGAAAAGTCGTGCGTCGTTTCCGCCGCACAGCAGCCGGAACAAAGGGCGAGATAAAGAGGCAGTGAATAAAGGGTGACGCGCGTTTCTCTCTCCGCCGACTGCTCATTGCAAAACGGCCCGCGGCTCGCTCGCAATTTAATTGCGAGAAGCAGGAAGTCGGGGTGGGTCAAGGGGCTTTTCACTCTCAGCCGAGGACCACCCCGCCTACCTGCCTGCCAAATGAGCCCCGCGCTCATTAGCAAAAAACGCTCCTGCACTTTTATCACGATTTGGTTTTTCAAAAATTTGCGCTACATTGATAAAAAAAAAAGTTGTTGCAATATGTACAAGACCAATTCTATTAATTTTGAACTATTTTTGTTTTGCATTATAATACATAAATGTAAATTAGAATTGTATATTTTTTTCATTTAAAATTAAACCAAGTTTCTCAATGTAAATATCAGAAAATAAAACGAAAATTCTCATTCAAATGAATTTATTTTTATCAGAAAAATTTGAAAGTTCTTATCATTTTTGTTTCATATTCAAATCTATAATTTTTATTAATTGAAGCCAACTGCTTTTTACAGATAAAAATGAACAATGCTGCTTATTTTATTAAATAAGAGTTATAATACATAAATATTTTTTATTCTTCAGAACATTTTATTCTCTCTCTAACTGAGAACCCTGAATTGGCTCGAGCGATAAATTTTGGGCTGAGAAGCAGGGCGTGTGGGTGGCACCAAGATAAGTGAAGAGTTTGTTTGTCTGGAGCCCTTTGTCACGACAAGAACGCCCGATATGCTCCTCGCACGGCAGGCACCGCATGTGAAATCGTCGCGAACGTGCGAAACGAAATTAACATGCGCCAAATAAATTAGGAGCGAGTAATCCCAGTGGCGGGCGCTGCAGCCACGTCGCTTTAATTATTCACCGCGCAACGTCGGAATAAAACTTTCCATGTTGTTTGCTGCGAGAGCAGAGACGAGCATTTTTCGTATTTTTGGCAAAAAGCGCGGCGCGGTTGAGGGATTTGCGGAGATAAAAGCTTTCACCGAGTTTTTAATTAACGGTTGTTTTTGTGCATTCACAAAAGAATACAACCGACCGTTTACGGTTGAAAAACGAAAAAATATAATCAAATATTAGAACAGAAAAATAAATACTAAAAATAAAATTCAAAAATATTTATAATTTGAAGACTAAAATAAATTGATCACAGTTTATTTCAGCATAATACGATTAGAGATAAAATTCTGAATGATTTAATTTAAAAAATTGCATTATGCTTAAAACATGATTTAATAGAAAGTACAGAATTAATTTTTTCTCGTTTTTCTTTAAAAAAAAAATACTTTAATTTGAAAGAAAAATACGTTAGGTTTAAAAATTAGCACTGAGAAATTTAAAAAAAAGTTAATTTACAATTTGGTTTTTAATCTTCAACACCTTCAACAATTTTGCACTTGGGTGATGTAAACTTATAAAAAATTCATTAGTTCTCAATTTTCTTTACTTTTTTTTGTTTATTTTTTGCTTTAGATTTTTGGGATATTACATTTATCTGTGGTGCATGAAGAAGTGAAAAAAACTATTCAGTCAGACCGCGAAGGTCTCGTCATAAATTACAATTCCATTTCTTATTCATAAAGGTTGAAACTTGACTTTTATATA